AAGAAGTCGCGACCAAAGTTTGCTTTTGAGATCGCCAAGAGATCGCAGTTCCACCAAATGTGAAAACATATCCAGTTTGCGACCGAGCTTTATGCGGATCATACAGATATCCTGCATCTGCAAAACCAACTAGACCAACCTCGGGGTTTCTAGAATAATATAATCCAAATTCAATCGAACCTTGAAGATAACGGAATATATGCTTTATTCCATTCCAATGCCGGCGCGTCGGTGATGAACTATACCTTGCAAGTAAGTTAGTAGCAAATGCTATATCTGGTCTAGTACAATTTGCAAGATACATAAGGGCACCGATAGCGCTCATATAAGGCACTTCAGGACCTAATATTTCTTCGTTACCTTCACAAGGTCGAAATGGATCCTTGTCAACGTCAAGTGGTCTATTGACCATTGGAGTACTCAAAGGAGTCGCTTTATCCATACTAAAACGTTTCAACACCCTTCTGGTGTAATTTGATTGATGCACAAATATTCCATCTTGGAAATACTCTATCTGGAGCCCTAGACAAAATTTTGTCTTTCCAAGATCTTTCATTTCGAACTCATCTTTCATATGAGCTCTAGCATCATCAATCTCCTTTTGAGTTCCAATCATGTTCAGGTCATCAACATATACAGCAATGATCACAAATCCTGATGCGGATTTCTTAATGAACACACAAGGGCATATCGCATTGTTGACGTAACCTTTACTCAACAAATACTCACTTAAGCGATTATACCACATACGTTCGGATTGCTTTAATCCGTAAAGTGATCGCTGTAGTTTGACCGAACATAGCTCTTTAGATGCTTTAGGCATCTTTGATCCTTGAGGGATCTTAAATCCTTCAGGGATTTTCATGTATATGTCACTCTCAAGTGAACCATATAGGTATGCAGTCACAACATTCATCAAGTACATCTCTAAATTATTAGAGGCCGCTAGGCTCATTAATTACCTGAATGTGATTGCATCCATGACTGGGGAATATGTATCTTCATAATCTTTTCCCGGTCTTTGAGAAAATCCTTGTGCCACAAGGCGAGCTTTATACCTTGTGACCTCATTTTTCTCATTTCTCTTTCTTACAAAGACCCATTTGTATCCGACCGGTATTACATCTTCAGGTGTAATACTTATCGGTCCGAATATGTTCCGTTTATTAAGGGAGAATATCTCATCCCTCATGGCAACTTGCCATTTATCCCAGTCAGGCCATCTTTGGCACTCTGACACGGAACTTGGATCTTGATCATCATTTTCATGATCGATCTCTTTGGAAACAGAAAAAGAGAACATTCCATCATTATCTTCTATTTCACTTCTAGCCCATAATTTTCCACTTTGGGCGAAAAAGATGGAAATCTCATATTTTTCTGTTTCATATTCGTCTTCAGGACAAACCTCTTTACCTAGTTCTTCAGGAACTGGTTCAGATATGTCTTCCAGACATATACCTTCATTTGGTTCTTCAGGAACCTTTTCACAAATGTCTTCAGGACATTTGGCTTTACTTCCAATTTCTTTCTTTTTCGGGGATTTTTATCTTTGGATCCTACTGGCCTCCCGCGCTTTAACTGAACCGGTTCATTTGCTCTATTTACATCAATATGTTCTTCAGGAACATTTATCTTTGATGGAGCATTAGCAGCGGGGATATAGGACTTTGTCACCCTTCTTGTATCAGTGAATGCATCAGGTAACTGGTTTGCCAATCTTTGTATATGTATAATTTTCTGAACTTCCACCTTGCGTTGGTTTGTAGGAGGATCAAGATAAGCCAAAGTTTTTATACACCATGTGATATCATTTGGTGATTCTCTCAATCCTCCCCCTAACGCAGGGAATTCACTTTCATCAAAGTGGCAATCGGCAAATCGTGCCGTGAACATATCACCAGTTACCGGCTCAAGATACCTAATTATACTTTGTGACGAATACCCGATATATATTCCCAATCTTCTTTGTGGTCCCATTTTTGTTCTTTGAGGTGGCGCTATAGGGACATAAACCGCACACCCAAACACACGAAGATGGGATACATCTGGCTTCTGGCCAAATGCTAACTGTATGGGGGAATATTCATTATACGCACTTAGTCTTACCTGGAACAATGCCCCAGCATGCAATATAGCATGTCCCCATACAGTGATTGGAAGCTTTGTTCTCAAGATTAACGGTCTTGCAATTAATTGCAACCGCTTAATCAATAACTCAGCCATGCCATTTTGTGTATGAACATGCGGAACCGGATGCTCAACATCGATTCCTAAAGACATACAATAGTCATTAAAGGCCGCTGAAGTGAATTCACCAGCGTTATCAAGCCTGACTTTCTTTATGGCATAATCAGGGAAATGCGCTCTCAACCTAATTATTTGGGCAATGAATCTTGCGAAAGCTATATTTCTTGTGGTCAAAAGACACACATGTGACCATCTACTAGATGCGTCAATCAATACCATGAAATATCTAAATGGCCCGCACGGTGGGTTAATCGGCCCACATATATCACCATGTATTCTCTCTAAGAATACAGGGGATTCATTCCCAACTTTGGCTGGCGAGGGCCTACATATGAGTTTTCCTTGAGAACATGCCTTACATGAAAACTCCCCCGATTGAAAAATCTTCTGGTTTTTCAATGGGTGGCCACTCGAATTTTTTACAATCCTTCTCATCATGACTGAACCAGGATGGCCTAACCTTTCATGCCATGCTCTGAAAGTGCTGGTACACTTCTGGTTTACCGCAACATGTGATTCAGCCATGGTTATCTTTGTGCAATATAATCCGGAGGACATCATTGGTAACACTTCCAACTGATGTTTACTCTCTGTTGCAATGCAAAGATATTCAGTGCCATTCTTATTAATAGTCTCAATATGATATCCATTTCTGCGGATATCTCGAAAACTTAATAAGTTCCGTTGAGACTCGGGGGAGTATAATGCATCTTGCACTACAAACTCTGTACCCCTTGGCAGTGAAAGACTTGCTCTTCCAGATCCTAGTATAATCTTTGTAATACCAGTTATAGTACTCACGCTTCCAGCGGAGACTTTCATTTTGAGACAGGAGAAATACTTTTTATCTCTAAGGATTGTAAGTGTCGTAGCATTGTCTGCTAGACAAGTATCTCCATCCATAATCTCAAATTCTGATATTTTCTGAATTTAAAATATTCATAAAAGATGCATTAATAAGTATTAAACACATACCTGGCAATACCGCTTATGGTACAATAGAACCTACAGCAAAAGCATCTAAAGCAAAAACATATAATACATCAAAACCATTAAGCTTTTGTCTTTCAACGTCCCAACCATCATCCCTTTTTTTCATTGAATTTGTCCATCACACTTACTCTAAGTGGATTACTCAACATTCTCCCCTAGGAATAGAGTCAATTTAGATGGACAAAACTGATGGTTTCTCATCACGAGTTTATTATATTATTAAGCTACCAGGAGGATTTATATCAACTCCGAGCTTTGGGTGAATTCTCTCGCCTGGAGATTCAACCACTTATTTTTCAAGATCTTCAGGATCTTTACTCGTGATGGATCATTTAAACCATCATGGATATGGTGGCGTAAAAAGATCATGATATTTGCCTTATTTCATCGAATATCGTTTCCGACATATCGATAGTGCTCAAGAGATCATTTCTCTCTAGATGCAACTTTGCACCTACCGCCCAAGACATAATTCTTTTACACAAGTCAAGGGTGGCGATCTCGAGCTTTGACAAATTATTACTCAATAACAAAAGCTTAATTTGTTAGGTTAAAAATTTGAGCATAGTAACGGTATAATAAAAGACAATAATTAAAAGCAATATGAGGAGGCAGAGCCTACCATACAACTGCTGATTGCATAATAAATAAATGAATAAAAATAGAGATTTTAATCTCCCATACAATAAATAAATAAATAAATATGATATGAGGCGACATAGTCTGCCATGTGATCATTTTTGATTGTGGAGGCAGAGCCTGCCATAACAATCAGCTCTGAGGAGATAGAGCTACCATCCCGACATAATAATAAATAATATAATTATTTGACCGTGGAGGCAGTGCCTACCATAACGATCAGCTCGGAGGAGGCAGAGCCTTCCATCCAGACATAACATATAAACGGAGAAGGCAGAGCCTATCTTCGCGTAAATCATAATATTAAAAATAAATTGAATATAAATGAATCTTACTTCTCTGGTACAGATCTATCTTCTAGATATAGATTAAGAGACGTTCGTGCTGATAACGTGTTGTAAACTTATGTTTTATAAAGAAAAGCAAAGAAGAGTTTAAGATCTTTTGAACTTCAGAGAGAAAGAGAGAAAGATGAACATAATAACTTCATTTCTTTCTTCTTCTGAACTTATGACTTTACAAAGAATGAAGTTACCTATTTATAGGAAAAATCTTACTTCATAGTGAAGTAAGGTAATCTATAAAGACAAAATATATGCATTATCCAAAATATATGGATAAGCATTATCTAAAACTTATAGATAAACATTATCCTTTAATATGATAATGTATAAAGACAAAATCAAATGGATAATCACTATCCATTTAACAAATCGAAAATAATTAAATATATTTAATATCGGTTAGTCACCGAAATGGATTTTATGATCGACTCTAACTTCTTTTCTCAAGTAAACTTTACATGTTACTTCAGCCCAATAGCAGTTTACACATCTTAATTCCATCATGTATTGAGTAAATTTGTGAAGGATACAAAAATTGTTAGCTTAGCTGTAATAGAATTGGACCTCACAATGATTACAAAGCCCATTAATTATATGTGAGTTCATGCTGACGTGGTAACTTTGTCCACCTGTAATCAAACCTCGCTTCGTGATTGGCTTTCAAAAATTGTGTGACGTTCTTTCATCGTTTCCTCCGAATTTTGTCTCTAAAAGGGAAAAAAGGAAAACCAAAATTAACACAATCTCGGAAGCAAACAAGCAACGATATTCGCCATGGACGCCATCGATTCCGTCGTCGATCCTCTCAGAGACTTCGCTAAGGATAGCATTCGCCTCGTTAAGCGTTGCCACAAACCTGATCGCAAAGGTATTATTTAAACCGTTTGTTCAATACATGATTTGCTGGATCTGTGGTTTTTAATTTATCACGATGGGAAGATAGATCTGTGTATTGGATGCGATTGTTTGATTTTGTTTTGATTTGGTTGTAGAATTCACGAAAGTGGCTGTTCGTACCGCGATTGGGTTCGTAGTAATGGGATTCGTCGGGTTCTTCGTCAAGTTGATCTTTATTCCGATCAACAACATCATCGTCGGTGCCACTTAGGTAATTTCTTCGATTTGTTTCACATGCGATGTAGGTGAAGAATTTAGCACCTTATGTGAATGATACTGATGTTAGATGTTGATTTTGCCCAGTTGATTGACTAACTCATAATGGTTAAGTTACTTTGTGTAGATGTATAAAGCATCGATTCTTGTGTTTCCTTTGTTGTGAAGGCCTGTCATCATGCTTCAATTGTGATTAGACCCTAGAGAATATTAAGTATTTGATCAGAGATAGGTGTTTAATTGTATTGCAGTTGTTGTGTACTTCCAAGTTTAGGCCTTTGCATAACAATCATCCATTTTTGTTTCTATCATGGAGTTCTGGTTTTGGTGTTCAAAAAGAGAATTGTTTGGAAGCTTTTATAGTTTTATCCAATTTAGTTGTACTTTGTGTAGAATAAAGTTATTGGGCCGTAGCATCAATTATTTGTTTCCACTAAGACCCATCATGCTTCTCCTGCGATTGGACCATTAAGAATTTAACTCTTTGATGAGACGTCATTGTGTTGCAGTTTCGTTTATTTGCTTACTTCCAATATTAGGCCTTTGGATAGAACAATCATCCAATCCAATTTCGTTTCTATAATGGTGTTCTGAATTGGGTGTTGAAAACTAGAAAATTGTTTGGAAGCTTTTTGTTGATTCATCCATTTAGTTATATAAGTTCAAGACTCGCACTTCAAATTCAATTGAGAATTTGGTAAATAGATAGAAAACCGTAGTTGTTTGGGTGCAGTCAAACCATTTGAGTCTAGAATCTGATAATGCAAGAGATTTGCTAAGCATTCTGATTTTTTTCAAGGAAAGATATATTGTTATACTACAATATGTGAAAACTATTTTTCAGTACTTTGGAAACCACTCTTCTAAGCCCCCTTTGTCGGTGAGTTTGCAGAAAGCAGAAGGGAAAATGGGAGAAAATGAGACAAAAAAACGAGTTTTGAGAAACGAAATGTTAGATGAGGTTTGTTGTTTTGAGAGAAGGCACAAGTCAGTTTCTATGTTTTGTGTAATTGGATTCCATGTTGTTTCTAACTTTTTTTTGTTATTTTCTTCACAACTGAAAAATCGGACTTGTCTTTCAATGTAGAGCAAACTAATTTAAAGAGTTGTGACCGAGTACTTTGATAGTCCAGTGGCTCTTCCACTTGATATGTCTCTCTTCTGCACTCAAAGCTTGACTTAAGTTTCCTCAAGTTCGGTACAAAAAATGTTTTAGAAAGTTGTTATTGTTACTTCTTGTTACAGTTCAATCGGGTTTTTGTTATTTTTCAAAATCATGCTCGTTAATAAACAATTATGCAAAAAAAATTGAGAGCACATAGCTAGAGTGTTAGGTTTCTGCCTTTATAAATATGAAAAATATCATAATATAGATAAGTAAGCATCTCCAATAATTATAAAATACAATTGCAATCTTTTCTAATGTATAATTAGGCGTTTCTTGTGCGGAGTTTAATTAAAAATTATAAAAAGTATAATATTAGTTTATTTATAGATAAAAAAATTAGATTTTATAATGATTCGAAGTGAAATTTAATATATTTGAAAAATTCAATTTTCATGAGTATATTGTTTTTTTTGATAAAGCAAAATATATTATTTATATTTTATTTTTTTAATATTTTATGTATTATTCGATAAAAATTTATATGTATGTTTTGTTGTTTTGTTGCAATTATCAAACATGATAAATGATTCGAAGTGAAATTTAATATATTTGAAAAAAATACAATTTTCATGAGTATATTGTTTTTTTGATAAAACAAAATATATTTTTATATTTTATTTTTTAATATCTTATGTATTATCCGATAAAAATTTATATGTATGTTTTGTTGTTTTGTTGCAATTATCAAACATGATAAATAATTCTCTTTTTTTATATAAATTGGTAAATTAAGAATAATTAAATTCAAAATTTACATTAAAAAAATAGCAATCTAAAATGGAGTTTTAAAAGGGTTTAAATGATTTAAGGTTTAACTTGTGGTCGCGTTAATTATTTAGGTTAATCAAAATATTAGTAGATTAAACAATCAAATTAAAATTAGTTTAATGAAATAATTAGGATTTTTTTTTGATTTATGCTAGTTACCTATTTATAATAAAATGAATATTTTTATAATATAAACTTGAATTTGGAAATCTAGATTTAAAAAAAAACAAAAATTAGTTAAAAATTAGGTTATATTAATTTGTTTATTTCATTAAGGGTAATTAAATTAAATTCACCTAATGAGCAAAAGTTAATCAACTATCATAACTCTCAACCACAGTTCAACTTGCTTCTCAATTAATAATATGATTTTATTTTTTATTTTATTTTTTGTTTTATTATTAATTATTAATTAATTTATAACTTTTTAAAATTTACAAATTAATTCAATAGTTTTTTTTTCAAAACTTTTATAAACTATACTATCTTTATTTTAATTATTTTAATATAAAAAATACATTGCACTACATAAAATTGATAAAAAATATATATATATATATATATATATATGTATAGATTTTTAGATATAGTTTATGTCATTATATTTTCTATTAAATAAATATTATTTTAATTTTAGAGATTTAAGTGTATTAATATTTATTAGGTGGTTGGTCCGCACATATATGCGGACATGAAAATTTTAATAAAAATTAGTTAATAATAATATATATCATTTATAATAAATAAGTGATTGATATGTTCAGTAATATATTTGTAACAAAATTTAGTTTGTGAAAAAATGTTTTAATGAGTTTGAGAAATTGTATATACAAAAAAATAAAATAGACACAAAACTTAAAATATTTAAAAACCGTAAAATAAAATAAAATGATTCTTTGTTATTCTTTATTTTCTATTTTTTTATTTATATTTTTATCTATTTATAGTTTTTTATTTCATTTCATCACATTTTATCTCATTTCTTGTTTGTAATTCTTGCTATATAATTGGAATACATTCACAGATAATATAATTTTTTTATCTTTATTTTTAGTAGTATAAGATAAGATGATAATAAATGTGAAGAAATTCTTCTTCTACAAATCTGATTCCGCAAATTTCACACAAACACTTTAACTTATAAATATTTCACTAAAACTTATTTAAAATAAGATTCCAAAAATTTTCATCAAAAAATGATTTCGCAGTTGTTCTGCCAAAAACATCAATAAGTAACTTTTGCACCAAAAAAATTACATCAAAATATGATCAAAAAACATTTTATCAAAATTTTGATTTTGTAAATTTTTCGCCAAAAACTTTACATTATAAATGTGATTCCAAAAATTACGAGTCAAAACTTTGATTTCATGAATTTCCCGCCAAATAAGTGAAACTGTATTTAATTCAAATAAACTTCCGTAAAAATCAGATTTCAGAAATTTTTCGCCAAAATATTTATTTCAGTTTATTTTAATTTGATTTCGTAACTTTTTGCTAAATATTGTGAATTCATAGATTTTATGTCAAAAATATGATATCAAAAAATTTCCGGCTAAGTATGTTGCCACAAATTTTCCGCTAAATACTTAAAATCCGTAAATTTCTCTGATTTTTTTTTGTGCTGAAATGTGGTTTCAAATCTATTTGACAAAAATATAATTTTCTCAAAAATCTGAGTATTTAAATTTTATATCAAAATTTTAGCATCAAATTTTGTTTTTAAATTAAATAATATCATATCACAGGACCAAAATTTGACATGTCACAATTACATCATCATTACACGTCATCATTTTCATGTCATATTAAAATTGCTCAAACTAAACATATTAACCAATCAAATTAAAACAAATCAGCATTTTTCATAAAACTACATTCCCAATTTATATATAGAAGATCGATTGGGACAAAATATGTCTTCCACTTGATATGTCTTTCATTTGCACTCAAAGTTTGACTTAAGTTTCCCAGTAAAAAAAATGTTTTAAATATTTACAAATTAATTCAATAATTTTTTTCAAAACTTTCATAAACTATATTATCTTTTATTTTAATTATTTTAATATAAAAATATATTACACTACGTAAAAATGATAAAAAGAAAAATAATATAAATTTTAATTATAGTTTATGTCATTATATTTTCTATTAAATAAATATTATTTAATTTTAATTTTAGAGATTCAAGTGTGTTAATATTTATAATTATTAATAAAAGAAATTTTCAACAAAATAATTATTTATAAATTTGAAAACAAAATTATTCAATATTTAAAGAACTAGTTTGTAAATAATAAGAGTTGTCGTCAAAAAAAAAAAGAGTTTAATTCTAAAATAGAATCGGATATGAGATGGTTTCAAATTTGGAAAAAAAGTTAGTATCATTCTATTTTAGAATTAAAAAATAGAATAGAATTAGAACACATTTTATGTTAAAATAAAATTTAGCACCAAATTTAGATTAGAATTGAAGATATTCTAACGTAGGTATAGTCTAATCTATACAATTTCACTAACAATGATAATCATAAGTTTTCATTATTTGAACCTTGGTGATATCATGCATTTAATTTTTGTATACATTTATGATATATTGAAATAATTACTGTATACATACTTTTTGAGTTATCAATTACACATATAATTGGATGCAAGTGATACATTTTCATCAGTTACACTTTTTTGGTAATTTGATTTGGATGCTTTTACGATAAGAAACTAAGACTCTATATTAATTGTAGGAAGATAAGGGAAATGAAGATGGATCCTTTGGACCCTGTAATTGAGAATCAATAGAGCTTTTGAGGTAAATTCATGGAGAAAAATAAAATCTCAGATGCATTGGTATAGAGAACCAGGCGAGAAATGGAGAAGCAAGTTAGTTTTCAATCTGGAAATATGGAGAAACATGAAATCAAATGGAGAGCAGTTGTCGGTGGTACAAAGTTCTGGTCATCTTGCAGAGTGCTTCATTTGAATGTGTTCGTGCCTCATATTCATATGGATATAAGACATTAATATCCATGATTAACATACTTTTTGAATAAAATGAGTTTTTCAGATTCAAGAACATGTAACCTCTATGATCATAAGTAAATGAGTTATATTGCAAAGAGAAGGTTTTATGTCTCCTTAGATACTTATCTTCTTCACTCTTGATTCTTACCTTTTGAATGCACTCCTTCAACTCGGTATATTGGATGGTCAGGATTTTCGTGGGACCATGAGTACTTATCATGAAAACTCACAAGTATTTGTTGTATCTCCTCAACAAAGGTTGATGGGAAAATGTCTTTGTTGTGCCAATGTGCTGTTTGTGGACAAAAAAGCCTGCTATCCCATTGAAATATGCATGCCAAGGAAGTCAATTTCTGTTTCTCCAACGACCATCATCTTTTCAGAGGGCATGATGCCATACTGCTGCACAATACCGTGAAACGTTGCTAATAGCTGGGTGTGAGAGTCTATGTCTGGAGAGAATAGTAGAATATCATCTAATGTACACCAGCATATTAGAGAGGATTGGCTCAAATATCTTGATCATGGCTTTTTGAAATAAGGAGGGGGCTATCTTCAAGCCGAAAGGCATAACCTTCCATTGATAATGACGATCTGGTATGCAGAAACCTATCTTAGGTCTGTCTTCTTCTAGTTTGATCCCCAATTGCAAGAATCCCGCCTTTAAGTCATACTTCGAGAAGGCTTTTTCTTGTGGAAGTGTTTGGTAGAGGGAACTTGTCATCAGCAAGAAACTGATTGTGTGGCTGGTAATTGATGACTAATCTTAATTTTCCTCGAACTTGCTTTGCCCGTTTATTGACATAAAATGCTTTACATACCCATGATGATATGGTTTTCTTAATGAGATCTTCCTTTTAGAGTTGATTTATTTCTTCAAGAGCAATGTTGTAGTGGTCTGCATTCATTCCTGGATGGCTCGCTTTGGTTGGATTGATATTTTCATTTTTCTTGAAGGGTAATGATATGAAGAAATCTGGATTTTTCCATAATGGTGAAGAGCATTTTGTGAAGAATTCTGAGTGAAAGGTGGCACAAGATGCTTTGGCGATTTTGTCTCTAATTGGGTTTAGGATTTCCATGGGGTAGAGATGGGAAATTGTTGTCTAGGGTAATAAGTGGTTTTTTGTGTTTAAGATCTTTAGGGTGCCACAATACTCTTTTGAGGCTGTGTTGGATATCAAATCCAAGTATAAAGATTTTTCCAGGGAGATTAGACCCATATACTTTGGACTTAATCATGTATCCATGAAAGAGTTGGATATAGATAAGCTTATTGATGAGAGATATGTAGAATATCTGGCCATTGGCTGCCCTGAATGCTACAGAACATTCTTCCCAATGAGAGGCTGGGAGTATATATGGCTTGATGATGGAGGATGCATCTCATTTATCAAAGTATGCTATGACCGGTATGAGTTTATCATACTTAGTAGGGAGGATGTAGATCTTGGCATTTGGAGATGGCTGAGACGAATATGCCAATTCTGCTCTCTTAGGTTGTTCTGCTCGGCAAGCATCCAGTGTATATAGGTTAAAAGGCATAAACTCATCATCTGTTTCTTCTTCTTCAGAGTCAGATTCTCCTGAAGAGCTGTTTTCTGGTTCAAGCACCATTGCGAGGACTGTGTCATCAGTCGGTTCATCGTCAAGGAAGAATATGGATTCTACGTCTGATTCATTAATGTCTTCGACTTGCGCCAGGTATCCAAGGAGGTTGTCACTCTTCTTCTTGTTTGGGCATTGTTTTGCATAATATCCCTTCTTTTTGCAGATATAACATCAGTCCGGTTTTTTTGAAACCCCTTTGCTTCTTTCTCTAGAAGAACTTCCATTTCTTCCCACTAAATCATTGAGGATACTTCTTTCGCCATTTATTTTTAGTTCTCTTGTCCTTGTTGTAGCGTGTAGAACATCCGCAACTCTTTTGTTTGCATTTTATGGAGAGTTATGGGCGATCACATGCCTTTACGAGGAGTTTTCATTGTTCTTGTAATTGTTTGAAAAACTTATGGTGATTGCATAATTTCTCAAGGGCTGCAACTGACATCTGGTATATTTCTCTCAGTGAAGCTTGATTAAGAGTCATGTTCTTCATGGATAATATTCTTCACGTTTCGTTTCCCAGTGGTTCGGGTAGTGAGTTCAAGTACGCATGTTTGAGACTGACATCATGAGTCCTATTTAAGGTGTATAATATTTTTGACATTTTTTCGTGATGTCTTTCTAGGTATTTTCTCTTGAAGGAGCAGCATTTTATGCTGAGATATTCTTTTCTTGTTTGGTCAGTGTAGAGATCCCATGTACCAAGAAATTCATTGTGGATATGTCCAATCAAAGTGTCAATTGTTGGTGATTGACGTATTTGCAGTTGTTGGTATTGATCAAGACTGATCCACCATTGTCTGAGTCGGCCATGGAATTTTGAGACTAGCTTGTCTATTATTGTGGGGAGCGTAGCTCCTGGGTTAAGCAGCTGTTCAGTGAGCTATGCATGCATCTCATAGATCTTGTCTTCCCACTTGAACGGGGATGTGTTGTCAAAGGAGAAACCTTGGTGTGATTCTGTATGATTTCTTGGATTCCAGTCAAGTGGAGGTTGGTGTCTTCCAGGTTCTCTTCTATCTTCAGACACATTTCCACCATCACTTTGCATGTCTTCTTCTTCGATTGTTGGTTCTGCCATTAGGAACTCTGGGATTAGGACTTCTTCATCAGAGGTATCTTGTGAGATTTCAGTCTTCTTCATCACATGTCGATGCTTGATCTCTTTTTCTTGTTTTGCTACTTTCTCAAGGAATATTGAGATTGTATTATTTGCATGTTCCACCATGAACTGTGCTTTACTCCTTTCTGGTAGATCTTGGATTTTTATGGTATTAGAGCCTCTCTATCCACCGGAAGGACTGGCTGTTTCTTTTTCTATAAGATGGTGTTTCTCTACAACATTGGTTGGCAAAAAGAAGGACGATCCAAAATGTCTTGGGTCTTGGGGAAATGAGAGTGGTTGTGTTTGGACCATATAAGGTGTAGGTGTATATTGGGTAAGGTGTGAATATATCAAATGGTAGTTGGGACTGTGCTTTGGGCTGGTTTTGTATGGAATGCAACTGGGCTTTAAGGGATTTTAGTCCTGACTCCTTTTGGTGAATAAGAGGAGAGGTTATAGAAATAGTAGTTGGCAGGTGGAGGAGTTCTTGATGAAGAGAAGATATCTTTTTGTTTATTTCTTTAACGTAGAGGTCCAAGATTGATATCTTTTGGTCGATTTGGCTCAGGAGATAATTTTGTGTCACGACATTTTCTGTTTACCAGTTTAGCGTTGCTTCGACTGCACTGGTTTGTTTTATTGATCCATTGGGATTTTTTGTATTTGGGCTTTTGATTTTCCAAGTATGCTTGAAGTTGCCTTGTTCGAAGTCATGTGGTGGACAAGTTGGTTCTTGAGAGGATGTAGAACCAAACATATAACACATTTGGACTTCTTCTTCTGAACTTTTTGGGGCTGGCTGGTCGTCTTGTTTTGGAGTTATTGGTGCTATTTGGTTTAAATACAGAACATAGTATTCAAAATTTATTCGGCTACGTTCTTCAAGCAGGCTAACTTGTGGATCTCCTGATTCGTACTGTTCTTTCAGCATTTATTGGAATGATCTTCTTCTCCTTCTTCTTCTTTGCTTTGGAGATTCTTCTTATGAGTCTTCCACTAAGTAGTTTGGACAGTCACATACATCAAAAACCTTGTGACCTGTTTTGTCTTTGAATGAATAGATAGGATCTCCAAGTGCATTGAAGGATTTAATTGGGACTCCAGGCAAGTTTGTATTTTGTATTCCAACTTGGGTATCTCCAGTTGGGTGATTGTGTTTATTTCGGTGCAGAAAGCTGTAGACCTTGATTTTTTACCAATTTGTTGCTTAAATTCGATCTCGGTGGCTCCATTTTTTCCTCTATGGATAGAGGAATCAACAGACTGTATTGGTGTGCTGTTTTCGTGGAGCTTCTCATAGTTTGTCCCATGATTCCGAGAGTAATTTGAGTAGCTCATCTCTTGGAATTCGCTTTGGGATGTGGATGCATGAGGGGGCTATGTTGTGATTCCAACTAGATGAGAAGTACATCTTATGTGTCTCTTGAAAGGCTTAGATCTATCACGTGATTCTGGACTTTGTATGCTACTTGATGGTGTAGCGTTGCTGCATACGTGTTTCCAATTTGTGGAGCGCCTGTTATTTGCAATTGTATTTGCATGTTTTGATAAATTTGGGGATCTATTAGTGCCACATTAAAATTTGGAAAGACTGTAATAAACACTGTTTCCGCATTTAATGTTGTTTGGAGGGTTGCAATGCACACATGCTAATACTCTTTGTATCTTGTATCGAAGAGGGCGACTCTTGCTCCTACATGTATGCTTTTCCTCCCATGAAGTGTTAATGCTAGGCGTATAGCTCCGTAGTGGAGATGTGTGTAGCCGTGTGATATGATAGTGGATAGCACAGCAGCTAGTGAACCAGAGAAGGAACCAGAGATAGTAGGGAGGATCACTCGTTCCAGAGCTAAGGAGCTGGCTAAGGAGGTTCATGCACTTATAGCAGAAGGACTGTGCAACTTACCAGCTATTCAAGTTTTCAACATCTTCAACCAGAAGACTCCACCCGGTAATGATGACTAAGTAACTTAGGTGAGGAGTCTGTACTCTTTTTCCCATGATTGAGTTTTGTCCCACTGGGTTTTCTCAACATGGTTTTTAATGAGGCAGATGAATCACTATGTCAAGTTACTTAGGAGTCATTGCCAATGGGTAATAAGTGTATGAGCTACTATGGTTTATACTTAGTAATTTTAGGCGCACCAATTAGGATTCTAAGGAATGGGACGCCTTGTTGTTTTTCTCTTTATTTTGGACGTCTTGTTGTTTTCTTTCTTAGACGCCTTGTTGTTTGGTTTAGGGTAGTATAAGTCTTGTATTACGCCTCCAGTTGTAAAGCAGCGAAGAACTAAGTGTTAAACAAACAGCCATTGCTGCATTTCTTCTCTCACCCTTTGATCTCTTGAATGTGTTCTTGTTGATCCGAGTTTCTATTCACCAAGTGTCCTTGAAACTCTACTATCTTTTACTCCCATCTTATCATTTAAATCGTTCCATTTAACCCTAATATCATTCCAATCTCACTCTACACTATCACTTTCACTATCACACGTTCATCTTCAGCCTATCTTCAGAGCAGTTCCAGGGAGATCGTGTCATGTGGTATCAGAGCCGCCTCTGAACCAAAGGCTGAGAAAACCCTAAACCCCTCTTTTTCCTTTTCTTTGTTAAATCGGATTTTCCTAAGAGTATTAGGTTTGCTTTCTTTTGTTGTTTCATAAAAGCTAGTGATTAGTTTCGAATTCCTAATAGCAATAGGTTGTGTGTTCGTTTCTCTATTAGTTTAGGATTGTATCTCTCTCTTTAATTAATCTTAAAAACTTGTTATTTTGAGAACTCTTTACTTTGAGTGTTGTTTTGATTGTCCCAGGTACCATGGAGCTTTCAGCAGAAGCCATGGAAGCTCTGAATCAAGCTATGGCGCAACAAATCAAAGAGGCTAATCAGTCAGTTGCTACTCAGTTGATGCAACAGATAGAACAGCTCAATGACAAGTTTGAGTCACGGTTCAAAGACTTCCTGAAAGAGAACAGTGCTGCAGAAAGTGACTCATCAGAACCGCCCAGCCCTAGTGAAGCAATCCGCCTTGCCAAAGGAAAGGCACACATGGGAGCTTCTTCTAAACATCCCAAAGCCAACACTACAAGAGCACCAGTTGGAAGGAGAGAAACCAGTGGAAACCGGCGCAGGAATGCTGAGGGAGCAGAGAGAGAGAGACACAGAACTACTAGAACATCTCCACACCTCCGAGCTGAGAATGTTGGTGGGCGTAGAGTTTATGTGGAGACAGAACCAGGATCTTCTGAAGGAGAAGAGAGATCAGATAATAGCTTCAATACTGTGAGGAGAGGCAGGAACAGAGGCAACAACCGAGAATATGATCCCTTGAAACAGCAGCTGAATCACCTTAAGCTTCAGTTTCCTTCCTTCCATGGTAATAATGATCCCGAAGTCTACTTAGATTGGGAAAGGAAGATGGAATCGAACTTCTTGGTTCAAGGTACCTATGAGCTCAACAAGGTGAAGATAGCTGTTTCAGAGTTCAATGGTTATGCACTCTTGTGGTGGGAGCAGTTGGGAGTTACTAGAGAGAGGCATCACGAGCTTCCTATTACCACCTGGGGTCAACTGACCACGCAGATGAGGAGGAAGTTTGTTCCTGCACACTATCAGAGAGAGATTCTCAACAAGCTTAGGCGCCTCATACAAGGAACTAAGTCTGTTAGAGATTACTACCAAGAGCTGGAAACCTTGATGATTAGAGCCGATTTGAGAGAAGGAGAAGACATGGTGATGTCTAGGTTCTTGGGAGGACTTAACAGAGAGATTCAAGACAAAGTTGAGCTACAGAACTATGAGGATGTGCAAGAAATGGTGCATAAGGCAGAATTGATTGAAGCACAGATTAAGAGGAGAATCAGCAGACCAACTTTCGCCTCTAATATACCAAAACCGAAAGAGTTCAACAAGTCAATCCCTACTCAGAACACAAAACCGGCTACAACAACAATCAAGGAGGAGATTAAAACCGAGTTTAAACCAAGAGGAACCTCTACTAGCAATGTCAGGTGCTTCAAGTGTCAAGGTATGGGACATTACTCCAGAGACTGTCCTAATAAGAAGATGTTTTTGCTGCAAGAGGGAGGAAACATCGTGCCTCAATACAGTTCAGAGAGTGAATCAGAGGCTAGTACAGAAGGAGAAGAAGAAGCAGCCGCAGTAGGAGAGATGCTAGTAGCATGCAGAGCTTTGAGTGTTCAGGTGCATCCAGATGATAGAGGTCAGAGAGAGAATCTCTTTCACACCAGATGTGTAGTTCAGGACAAGGTCTGCACGTTGATTATAGATGGGGGAAGTTGCACCAATGCCGCCAGTGAAGAGATGGTAAAGAAGCTTAACCTTAAAACCACTTCACATCCTAGACCTTACAAGCTGCAGTGGTTGGACAACAAAGGAGCTATTACCGTTTCTCAACAAGTGCTTGTCAAGCTAGCCATTGGGAAGTATGAAGATGAACTCCTCTGTGATGTGGTTCCTATGAGGTCTAGTCATATGTTATTAGGGAGGCCGTGGCAGTATGATAGGAGAGTTCTTCATGATGGCTACACCAACAAGCAGACCTTTGAATTCAAGGGGCGCAAGGTCACCCTTCTACCACTTTCCCCCAGCGAAATCTACCAAGATCAACTACACATGAACCGCAAAGACAAAGAGAAAGTCTCCAACAGTCTATACATCAATCACAGTGAGTTCAACAAGCTCTTTGATCCTGAGATGACCACCTTCATGTTTGTTTACAAAGAAACGCTGGCTAGTACTAAACCGTTAGAGAAGCTTTCCCATGAGGTGATAGAGATCATTGAGGAGTACAAGGATGTATTTCCAGAAGAGATACCCCCAGGCTTACCCCCAACTCGTGGAATTGAGCATCAAATTGATCTAGTGCCAGGGTCAGTACTACCAAATAAACCAGCTTACAGAACCAACCCTGTAGAGACTAAAGAGCTTCAGAAACAAGTAGAGGAGCTGATGAGTAAAGGATATATCAGAGAAAGCCTCAGTCCTTGTGCAGTACCAGTTCTGTTGGTTCCTAAGAAAGATGGAACATGGAGAATGTGTGTAGACTGCAGAGCAATCAACAACATCACAGTGAAGTATAGACATCCTATCCCAAGATTAGATGACATGTTAGATGAGTTATGTGGGTCAACAGTGTTCTCCAAAATCGATTTAAAGAGTGGTTATCATCAGATCAAAATGAAAGAGGGAGATGAGTGGAAAACTGCTTTCAAGACCAAGCAAGGGTTGTATGAGTGGTTAGTCATGCCGTTTGGTCTCACTAATGCTCCCAGTACCTTCATGCGCCTAATGAATCATGCCTTAAGATCATTCATTGGAGTTTTTGTAGTGGTCTACTTTGATGACATACTCATCTACAGTAAAGGTTTGGAGGAACATCTAGGGCACATCCGCCAAGTTCTGGAAGTTCTTCGTTCTCAATCCCTATTTGCTAACTTCTCTAAGTGTTCATTCTGTACTACTGAAGTTGTTTTTCTAGGCTTTGTTGTTAGTGCAGAAGGAGTGAGAGTTGACGAAGAGAAGATCAAAGCAATCAAAGAATGGCCTACGCCTAAGAGTGTTGGGGAAGT